AACTTTGAAGTAAGAACAGTCATTTAACAACAGTTTTGCTTAGCGACAGAAATCTGGGGCTCAACTGTGGCCGTGAATCGAGGGCTACCTGTAGCTACTGGGGCATCTGGCCCAGATGTTCCCCAGAGGAAGAGCGACTTCAACCTGGGAAGTTTTGCTCTGAGTCTGCTTGTCCCATTTAGATCCTCGGAGGCTCCAGACACCAGCTTGGTCCACGATGGAGATGCGTGAATGGATGCTTGAGGATGCCTCAATCCCAGGATGAGCCCTCCCAGAGACTCATGGAGAGGGTGAACCAGCTGGTGGAGGGCACTGAGGCTGATGGGATTTCTCTCGGGACCCCCAATGGGCTCACCCCCCCAACTCAGGCTTTAGCAGAGCGCTTTTCAACCTTGGCAACCTGAAGATGTGTGGACTTCAACTCCCAGAACTGAAGTGGGAGTTGGCTGGGGAATTCTGGGAGTTGAAGTCCACACATCTTAAGGCTGCCAAGGTTGAGAGACCCTGCTCCAGCAGATGGAGTAGACCAGGGTCGCCCACCTGAGGTCTCAAGACGAACCCATTCCACGATTCTCTATCTCAGTGGTGGCGGACCTATGGCACGGGTGCCAGAGGCGGCACTCGGAGCTCTTTCTGTGGGCACACGTGCCATTGCCCCAGCCTCGCCTCCCCCCCCCGTGACACCCTCCTCACCAGCAGCCCCCCTGGAGGAGAGTCGCCCTTGAGCATGGCCCACGCGGAGCAGCACAGCCAAGGACACGGCAGCCAGGCAGCGTAGACAAGAATCTGGCCTCACGCCCCCATCATGCACAGTTGATGCTGCGGGGCGCGGGCAGAGGGCATGGCCGCCATGGCGCTGCTGGGCTGCCTGGGCGATTTGCGGCGGGCCCTGGAGGCGGTGAGTGGCCCTGCGGGCAGGAGGAGTGGGGGCGGGGCAGGGGGTGGAGTGGGGGCGGGGCCAGTTTTTGGGCACTCGGTCTCTAAAAGGTTCGCCATCACTGGTCTATCTACAGCAGTGGTTCTCAACCTTTTTAATGCCGTGACCCCAACCGGTCATAAGTCGAGGACTAAACCGGTCGTAAGTCGAGGACTAAACCAGTCGTAAGTCGAGGACTACCCAACCGGTCGTAAGTCGAGGACTTGCCCTGTCCGGGAGCGCCGTGCATGCGTGGTTCCGCCCCCTGCGCCGGCCGAGGCGTAGCTGGCAAGCGGCAGAGACGGAGCAGGACGACCACCAGCTGGCCCAGCCCAAGGGAGGTAAGGCACCCGCCGGAAAAGGGGAAAAAAAATGGCGGACAAAAAAAATGGCGGACAGCCTTGCTTGGCGACCCCCGTGAAATGGTCGATCGACCCCAAATGGGGTCCCGACCCAAAGGTTGAGAACCACTGATCTACAGTCAACCCAGCTCAGCCACCGCCTGTCAGGAGAGCTCACGAATGTGCCCCCCGTTGCACACGCATCCACGGGGGGCTTTGCACACAGAGGCTGACCACCCTTCACCTCTACCGGCCCAGCTCTGATGGCACCCCAAGGGCTTCGGTGTCAGCAGCTGGCCAAAAGGCTCCCCTTGGGCACCGCGGCAGCTTTCAGTCATTAGCTCATCAACTTGAGACTTCAGGACAATTAGTGCCCGCTTCCGTTCCCAGGGGAATCGGCACACCCGCCTCCCCCGTGCGCGGTTGGCATAGCAACAAGCCAAGGATGTGCATGTCCTTTTATTGCAAGGGGGGGCCAGGAAGGGAGGAAGGGGGCGAGCGAAGCACGAAAGCAAAATCAGAGTATCGAACTGAAGAGGGATTCTTCCTTTGGGTGAGTGGGTGGGAAAGCCATCCCGACTCTTGACAGCACCGGGGGAAATCCCAAGTTCTGTTTTTCCTTGTCTTCTCAGCACACTTTCTCTTTCACACGCACGCACGCACACACACACACAAACACACAAACGCTATTGCCCTCAAGTAAACATTGCAGAATATAACTCAGGCTTACATCATTCAAACGCCTCCCTCTGGGTGCCGGGGGGGGGGGGGAGAAGAGTAAGCACAACGTCATGGACCGCAGTGGGACTCCTTCTCCCTAGACCAGTGGAACCACCTGCCTCCAGAAGTGGTGAATGCTCCAACACTAGAAGTTTTTAAAAAGAGACTGGACAGCCATTTGTCTGAAATGATACTATAGGGTTTCCTGCCTGAGCAAGGGGTTGGACTAGATGACCTGCAAGGTCCCTTCCAACTTTATTATTATTATTATTATTATTATTATTATTATTATTATTATTCATCAGTGGAAGGACTTGCATCCAGAGGTTGTGTGTGTTACAACACTGGAGGTTTTTAAGAAAAGACTGAATAACCACTTGTCTGAAATGGTATGGGATCTCCTGCTTGAGCAGGAGGTTGGACTAGATGACCTCCAAGCTCCCTTCCAGCTCTATTCTGACTGAAACCTATTTTCCAAGCTACCTGAAGGCTGGACAAGAAGCAATGAATGGGAACTAATCAAGGAGAGGACCGATCTAGAACGAAGTGAGAACAATTAACCGGTGGGACGGCTTTCCCTCCAGAAGTTAAGGGGGCTCCATCAATGGAGGCTTTTAAGTAGAGACTGGACAGCCATTTGTCTGGAATGGTATAAGGTCTCCTGCTTGAGCAGGGGGTTGGACTAGAAGACCTCCAAGGTCTCTTCCGTGATTCTGTTCTGTTAAATTCATCTTTTCTACCCTCACACCGGTGCAGAAATAGACCGCACAGCTACAACAAAGGAGTCGTTTCAAAATGATAGGCTGGTTTTTGTATTTTATGTCCTTGTCCTTGTCCACTGACCTACTGACACACACACACACACAAATGCACGCACACCCCACTGCACACCCTGCTTGCTCTTCCCAATCCAGATCAATCACAGTCTTCGGTATATTAATGGCATCTTATTTGTACTGAATGCCTCATTAATGCTAACATTCCCTGGGCGTCTCTCTGCCACCCTCCCCGGATGGAGAGTATTAATTGCTTGCTTTGTAATTAAATATTAAGGCTGCAATGTTTCACGCTTTGCACAGCTGGCAAGGAAAGGGGAGCCGCGCATAGTGCGAGTGTCACACACGCAGGATATTAGTTCAGATTGCAAGAGTGTCTCACAAGCCGCTGCTCTGTGGACCTACGCCAGTGGTGGCGAACCTATGGCACGGGTGCCAGAGGCGGCACTCGGAGCCCTCTCTGTGGGCACACGTGCCGTTGTCCCAGCCCCGCCTCCCCCTGCGACCCCCTCCTCTCCAGAAGCCCCCCTGGAGGAGAGTCGCCCTCGAACGTGGCCCACGCGGAGCAGTGCAGCCAAGGACATGGCAGCCAGGCAGCGTAGACAAGACTCTGCCCTCACACCCCATCATGCAGTTGATGCTGCAGGGCGCGGGCAGAGGGCGTGGCCGCCATAGCACTGCCTGGGTGATCTGCGGCGGGCCCTGGAGGTGGTGAGTGGTCCTGTGGGCAGGCAGGGCAGGGGATGGGGGGGCAGAGCAGGGGGGTGGAGTGGGGGCGAGGCCAGTTTTTGGGCACTCGGTCTCTAAAAGGTTCGCCATCACTGACCTACGCAAAGACTACAGAGCAAGCGTAGTTCAATCTTGGGCCAAGATACACACAAAGGTCCCTTCCAACTTTTTTATTATTATTATTATTATTATTATTATTATTATTGTTGTTGTTGTTGTTGTTGTTGTTTTGTTGTTGTTAGTACTATTATTATTATTAAATACAGGTAGTCTTCAACTTAAAATCACAATTGAGCCCATTTCGGTTGCTAAGCGAGATAGTTGTTAAGTGAGTTTTGCCCCATTTTACGACATTTCTTGCCACAGTTGTTGTGAATTCTGCTTCCTCCCCCCCCTTGACTTTGCTTGATCAGAAAGTTGCAAAAGGGGATCACGTGACCCCCAGGGGAACGCCGCGACCGTCATAAATATGAGTCAGTGGCCAAACGTCTGAATTTTGATCACGTGATCAAGTCGTAAGTGTGAAAAACACAAGTCCCTTTTTCCAGTGCTGTTATAACTTCGAACGGTCGCTAAATGAACCAGCGTAAGTGGAGGACTGCCTGTGCAGGGCACACGCAAAGGCTCAGGAGAGGGAGGAATGAAGAGGTGGTTCTCAAGGAGCAGTCAGGGAGAAGCAGCCCAGTCTGAGTTCAGCCAACAGACGGGTAATCTTTGACTTACGACCACAGTGGGAATCAGAATTTCTGTTGCTAAACAAGGAGTTTGCGCCAGATTTTATGACCTTTTTTATCAGGGTTATTAAGTGAATCCCTGCACAGTTAGTTGTTAAGCCAGAATTCCCCAGCCAGCGTGGGGAATTCCACTCCCAGAATTCCCCAGCCAGGTCTTAAAAATTGCCGAGGCTGGGAAACCCTGGTCTGTAGCCACTCAGTGCTATTCGCACAGCGTTGTCTTCAGCCCGAATAAGAGACGTGGAAGAGACCTTGGAGGTCTTCTAGTCCAGCCCCGTGCTCGAGCGGGATTGATGGAGATTTACTCAGATTTACTGAGAGACAAGCCACAGGTTTGTAAGAAGCAACGGATGGAAACTAATCAAGGAGAGAAGCAACCTAGAACTAAGGAGAAACTTCCTGACAGTGAGAACAATTAACCAGTGGAACAACCTGCCTCCAGAAGCGGTGAATGCTCCAAAATTGGAAGTTTTTAAGAAGAGACTGGACAGCCAATTGCCTGAAATGGTACAGGGTTTCCTGCCTGAGCAGGGGGTTGGACTAGATGACCTCCAAGGTCCCTTCCAACTATTATTATTATTATTATTATTATTATTATTATTATTATTATTATTATTATTCCAGCAACTAATTTCCTTCTCAATTTATCTGTCCCTATGGAGGGACTTTGGGATTTGCCTTTGGCAAGGAGGCCGGTCTATTGGCTAATAATGGGGAAGTTGCCACCGATGGCCAGGCCTTTGTCATATGAGAGTAGAGGGAGGGGAAAGGGGTGTGCACTGACCTTTTGATGCCTGGGGGGTCTCACTGGCTGTTCTCTCTGCCCCCCCTTCCGAGTACAGGAAGGACCCTACTGGAGAAGCAGAACAGAGCATTAGCGGGGACAGACGAGAGACACAGGGCCCAATCCAGACACGCAGCCCCAGGCTCTCTGGACAAGCCAGATCATCCGCAGCATGCTTGATGTCCAAGTAAGCAACTGGTGGGGGGGAAAAACCCTTTTTCCCTTATAGGATGGGGCATTTGCTCCCGTGGGAATTGTTCACTTGTTCACTCGTGAAGCAAGCCGGAATCCGCACAACAGACTAATCTGGCAACCGATAAGTCAAATAATAATAATAATAATAATAATAATAATAATAATAATAATAATAATAATAATAATAATAATAATAATAATAGTAGTAGTAGTAGTAGTAGTAGTAGTAGTAATAATAATAATAATAATAATAATAATAGTAGTAGTAGTAGTAGTAGTAATAATAATAATAATAATAATAATAATAATAATAATAATAATAATAATAATAATAATAATAATAATAATAATAATAATAAAGTTGGAAGGGACCTTGGAGGTCTTCTAGTCCAACCCCCTGCTCAGGCAGGAAACCCTATACCATTTCAGACAAATGTCTGTCCAGTCTCTTTTTAAAAACTTCCAGTGTTGGAGCATTCACCGCTTCTGGAGGCAGGTGGTTCCACTGGTTAATTGTTCTCACTGTCAGGAAGTTTCTCCTTAGTTCTAGGTTGCTTCTCTCCTTGATGAGTTTCCACCCGTTGCTTCTTGTCCTGCCTTCAGGTGCTTTGGAGAACAGCTTGACTCCCTCTTCTTTGGGGCAGCCCCTGAGATACTGGAAGACTGCTATCCTGTCCCCCCTCGTTCAAGGCCTAACGAATCCAGGTTTGCATGTTATGTGACTGCAGCCCACGGATTTGCTTAAGCAAGCTGGGCAAATTTAGCTACCGGACACATATTGTGATTTCACCTACTGTGTGTGAACGCAGTGAAAGAGACTCCCAGGGATACGTGTGTGTGTGTATGTGTCCAACAGAGGGGTGTACACAGGGTATGATTTCTACAGCATCAATACGGCAACCATGGTGATACAATCAAAGCTCTGCTTTTTTACAGACATAACACCACTCCGTCCATCTCCTTTTTTTCCCTTTAACATACCCTGCATATAGAGGTAGTCCTCGACTTACAACAGTTTGTTTAGTGACCGTTCGAAGTTACGACCACACTGAAAGAAGTGACTTCGGACCATTTTTCACACTTAACGGCCGTTGCAGCGCCCCCCCCTGTGGTCATGTGATCAAAATTCAGGCGCTTGGCAACTGACTCACATTTATGACCATTGCAGCGTCCCGGGGTCACGTGATCCCCTTTTGTGACCTTCTGACAATCAAAATCAACGGGGGAAGCCAGATTCACTTCACAACTGTGTTACTAACTTAACAACTGCGGTGATTCAACTTAACAAACGTGGCAAGAAAAGTCGCAAAATGGGACAAAACTCACTTAACCAATTTCTCACTTAGCAACATAAATTTAGGGATCAATTGTGGCCGTACGTTGAAGACTACCTGTACCCCTACTCTACCAGCTATTCACATTACGGTTAGACTTCAACTTACAACAGTTCGTTTAGTGACTGTTCAAAGTTACAACAACGCTGATAAAAGCGACTGGTGACCGTTTTTCACACTTACGACCCTGGGCGCAGGGTCAAAATTCTGGCACTTAGCAACTGACCCACATTTACGACGGTCGCAGTATCCTGGGGGGTGTGTGTCACATGATCCCCTTTTGCGACCTTCTGACAAGCCAAGTCAAGGGAGAAGCTGGATTCACTTAACGACCGGGTTCCTAACTTAACACCTGCCGTGATTCACTCAGCAACTGTGGCCAGAAAGGTGGTAAAACGGGGCAATGCTCACTTAACACGTGTCTCACTTAGCGACCTAAATTTTGAGCTCCATTGTAGTCATAAGTCGAGGACTCACCGTTTTATAAGAGTCACATACAGTTCTCACTTCGTTCACTTTTAAAACCCTACGCCGGCAGGATGTAAAACAAGGCTGGGGTGTGAAGAGGGGGCATAAAACAATTATTTCCCTGGTGGAAAAAAAATGTGCACGGGGCCCTATCCGTTTTCACACCAGTCTGACTGCTGGCATCAAAATGAAACCAAATTCAGCAAACACCACGACGGAAAGAAAGGTACGCTGCTGAACACTGCATGTAAACAGCAGCTGTTATAGTGTATTTTTTTTAAAAAAATAAAAAATAACATTTATAACCGAAGGAACTTGTGCTGAAAAAAAAAATCTATCAAAGAAACGTATACGTGAAAGAAGAAAAACGCAGCCTGATTTGCATTTTTAAAATGTCTTGGGAAATGTACATTTTAGCAGTTATGCAAATGAGGGGAGGAGAAAGACTAGATCACTACGCAGTACAGGTTGCTGTGAAGAGAAACGGCTATAAAATCTACTTTTTTTCATCGGGGAGGGGCGGAGAATCCTTTTTGATCCTAATATTGTTTTACTAAACCAGCAACAAAGCGGTTGCGATCCACGTTCCCTTTTGATCAGTCAATTTCCCACCACGTCAGGGTTTTTTGTTTTTTCGTTTCTCCCCTGGCACTCGGCAGCTTTGGAACACTCTGCTTGTAATATTGATTTCTTTCCCAAAAATGCTTTTATTCTTTGGCAAATCTGTGGAGTTGCCCTTGGATAGCTCTCCTCCTGAATATGGGAGATGCCATTTTAGGGGCTCCCCTCTCTTGACCTAGGGCCGTGGTGGCGAACCTATGGCACGGGTGCCAGAGGCGGCACTCAGAGCCCTCTCTGTGGGCACGCGCGCCGTCGCCCCAGTCCTAGGCCTTCAGCTGGGTTTTATAAAACCTTTTCGCTTTAGGCCTCTGCCGCCGTGTGCAAAAAAAAAAAAAGGTTCAATCGGTCAATTTCAACTTCTCGCGGGAAAAAAAAGATCTGGCAAAGTTGGAATTGATTGATTGAACTTTTTAGTCNTTACTGAGGTTGATCAACACTGTTACGCGGTGGATTAAGGCACAATTCTTACACCATAGCTAAAGGTTTGTTTTAAAAAAAACTCGACTTTACAAAGCATAATGGCCAGATTCACACCGGCTACGAAGCGAACCATAAACCATTGTACGGATGGATTTTTTGTAAACCTAGTTCTCTGCATTGCTTTGGCCAGCTTTCTTGATTAAAGGTAGTCCTCAATTTACAGCAGTTCGTTTAGCGACCGCTCGGAGTTACAACAGCATTGAAAAAAGTGACTTGCGACTGGATTTCACATTATTGCAGCATCCCCGTGGTCACGTGATCGAAGTTTGGCTGCTTGGCAACTGGCTCCTATTTGTGATGGGGGGTGTCATGCGATCCCCTTTTGCAACCTTCTGACAAGTCAACGGGGAAGCAGGATTCACTTAACAACTAACTTAACGACTGCAGTGATTCGCTTAGCAATTGTGGCAAGAAATGTCATAAAGTGGGGCAAAATTCACCTAACCGTCTCAGTTAGCAACAGAAATTTTGGGCTCAATTGTGGTCGTTAAGTCGAGGACTGCCTGCACGAGGCTAAAGGTCGGCAGCCAAAGAAGGATTTGGGTTTGGCTAGTCTAAAGAAAAGAAGGACCAGGAGTGACATGATAGCATTATTCCAATATTTGAGGGGCTGCCACAAAGAGTAGAGGGTCAACTTATTTTTCAAAGCACCCGAAGGCAAGATGAGAAACAACGGATGGAAACTGATCAAGGAGAGAAGCAGCCTGGAATTAAGGAGAAACTTCCTAACAGTGAGGACAATTAACCAGAGGAACAGCTTGCCACCAGAAGTTGTGGGTGCTTCATCACTGGAGGTTTTTAAGAAGAGACTGGACAGCCTCCTGTCTGGAATGGTATAGGATCTCCTGCTTGAGCGGGGGGCTGGACTAGAAGACCTCCAAGGTCCCTTCCAGCTCCTATTCTGATTCTAAAGGCAACTTCAAAAAAGGTTGGTCTGTAAAACCCCAAAGGGAATTACAGCTCTTTCTCCTGAACTGTTTCTCAGATCTGAACACCCTCTGATTGTGTGGATCCTGTATTTGCAGAAGGTGCTTAACCTGGTAACTGAATTCGCCTATCGCCTGGCTTCCTGCTATATACTGAAGTCTAAACAAACCAATGAGGCTGAGCTGGTGTAACAGGGAGAAAAAAAACAGAGCTAACAAGGTTAACTAGGTATTTTAAGTGATTAAGCATAATGTGTGAACAAGCCTTTTAAAAGCCAGACTTGGGAAATAAACAAACAGACATAAGGGCAAACCAAAGAAACTGGGGGGGCATTCAGAAGAAAAAGCTACGGAGGGCGGTGACATATTTATGTCAGAGAATAAGTAGTCCTAGATTTACTATCGCAACTTCGGAATTTGCTCCGACACCCATCTAACTCTAAACACCCAGCACACCTCGGCCTCGGCTTTCCTGAGCTGCACCGAAGGAGGAAGGCAGAACCATTTTGCTTTTAGACTTAGATGGTTGTTTCTCAGTCACCCTAATAAATATTTTATTGTTTAAGCAATTAACCGCATCCTTCTGGGATGTACATCAACCCTGAAGCACAGTTAGAAGCTTTAAAAGTGCGTGCCTCTCTCTCTCTCTCTCTCTCTCTCTCTCTCTCTCACACACACACACACACACACACACACAGATAAATAAACTCTGTGTGTGTATAAGTATCTCTTTCTCTCTCTCTCTTTTTCATTCTTTCTCTCTCTTTCTTTCTGTCTCTTTCTTTCTTTCTCTCTCTCTCTCTCTCTCTCTCTCACACACACAGAGATAAATAAACTCTGTGTGTGTATAAGTACCTCTTTCTTTCTCTCTCTCTCTCTTTTTCATTCTCTCTTTCTTTCTTTCTGTCTCTTTCTCTCTCTCTCTCTCTCTCTCTCACACACACACACAGATAAATAAACTCTGTGTATGTATAAGTATCCTCTTTCTTTCTTTCTTTCTTTCTCTCTTTCTCACTCTGTCTTTTTCTTTCTCTCTCTCTCTCTC